AGATGCAAACTTCTAAATAAAATTATACCTACCATTTCCTAAAGTGGGAATAGTGTTTCAACGGGACAATAAACCACAGCTTTGAGGACAAATAAGGGTGAGAATTAATGAAGTTTTCCAAACATCCATGCAAACCTTTAGCTCGGAGGGATGGTTACTATAGTGCAAGGTTGTTTGGTTTCTTTGATCACAACTACTGAGAATCGATGACCTTGTATGTTCTATTACCAAGCTAAATTATGCTCAGAATCTATCTGATTAGCAGAGTTTTACCTGTATTACCAAGTATTACAAACACGTTGGAGATCAGCTAGGCACAATGGTTCTCAAAAGACACTGTCCTTTGAGATATTTATTCAATATCTGCTTAAGGGGTAACTTGTTAGAAATGCAGATTCTCAGAGCCCATCCCACAACTACTGAACCTCAAACTCCGCACATCGCTCAGGATCTGTTTCTTTCTTTCTTTTTTTTTTTAAAGATTTTATTTATTTGACAGAGACACAGCGAGAGAGGGAACACAAGCAGGGGGAGTGGGAGAGGGAGAAATAGGCTCCCCGCCGAGCAGGGAGCCCGATGCGGGGCTTGATCCCAGGACCCTGGGATCATGACCTGAGCCGAAGGCAGATGCCCAACGACTGAGCCACCCAGGCGCCCCTCAGGATCTGTTTCAACAAGCCTTCCAGGTGGTTCTGATACTTGCTCCAGTCTGAGAACCACGAAGCCAGAGAAAAATCCAAAGTCCTCAATTCTACCACTAGCTGTGAGACCTTAGACAAATCACTTAACCTGTGTGTGCCTAACTTTTCATCTGTCAAGTGGGGATCATATTTGCACTAATTGTCTTAGAGCAATGATGTTCAAATGAGGGGGGGGGAATGGAAGTGATTTGAAAAAAATGTGTTAACAGTATAATATTTTAATGAAGATAAAAATTAAAAATGTGGAGGTGCTCTAATACCAAACTACTCAGGGCATGGTGCTCAGACCCACAGCACTAGATAGAAATACAGACTCTCGGGCCCCATCCCTGACCTCACAAATTAGAATCTGATTTTTAACAAGAGCCCAGGTGATGGAGGTGGGCGAAGGACGGCACAGGTGGAAGCCATTACTTGTACCAGGCAGGTGTGCAGTCATGAGCCAAGCCAGAGGGGGCCCCCTGCTCCACACCTGAGCTTCTCTCAGGGGCCATCTCACGGTTGATCAGATATGTAAACGTCCTGGAAGAGTTCCAACTTTTGGGGCGCCTGGGTGGCTCAGTTGGTTAAGCGACTGCCTTCGGCTCAGGTCATGATCCTGGAGTCCCGGGATCGAGTCCCGCATCGGGCTCCCTGCT